CCTAGCACGCACCGGATGTCTCTGCGTCCGTCCACTGCTCCTCTGCGTGCCCCTTTTCCCTCTCCTCTTGAGTCCTCTCTTCCTGTGCTTGTTGACCCTGAGTCGGACTCTCTTCGTGCTGCCAGTCCTACTGTCACGCGTCTCCTTGCTACTGTCGTCACTACCCCCTCCTTTGAGTCCACTGCTGCGTCTGCTCTTGTTGCTGAGCTCGTCGACTTTGCTGCTCGTTGTCGTCTAGACTACGCTGCTAGTCTTGTTGCTGAGTCTGCGTCTGTCTGTCCTCCGTCCGTCGGGGGTGAGTGTGCTCTTGGCACGGACGTCCTTGAGGACAGGCAAGAGGAGTTCCAGTGTCTGGCTGCTGCTTCACCTCATCTCGCGTCCGTACTGCTTACCCCTGAGGGAGACCCGGATGCACTAGACATCCCGACTCCGCGCTCTTACGCGGAGGCCGTAGAGGATCCCTACTCCTCTCAGTGGCAGGCAGCTATGGATGCAGAGATGGCTTCCTGGAAGTCCACAGGCACCTACGTTGACGCGGTTCCCCCTCCTGGGGCGAACATCGTCAGTGGCATGTGGATCTTCAGGGTGAAGCGGCCGCCGGGCTCTCCACCTGTCTTCAAAGCGCGGTACGTGGCTCGTGGCTTCAGTCAGCGGCAGGGAGTTGACTACTTTCAGACCTTCTCTCCGACCCCAAAGATGACCACTCTTCGGGTGCTGCTACACGTAGCCGCTCAGCGTGACTACGAGCTTCACTCCCTTAACTTCAGCACTGCTTTCCTGCAGGGTAGCCTGCACGAGGAGATCTGGTTGCGCCGTCCACCTGGCTTCACTGGGACTTTCCCTCCTGGCACCCAGTGGAGCCTCCGACGGCCAGTCTACGGTCTCCGCCAGGCACCGCGCAAGTGGCACGACACACTGAGGACTACACTTGCGGCTCTTGGGTTTGCTCTTTCTACTGCTGACCCGTCGCTGTTTCTAGCACCGACACCTCTTTGCCGCCGTTCTACATCCTCGTGTACGTCGAAGACTTGGTCTTTACCACAGCTGACACTGCTGGACTCGCCCACGTGAAGTCCGAGCTGCAGAAGAGACACACGTGCACAGACCTGGGTGAACTGCGCAGCTACCTTGGCTTGCAGATCACCCGGGAGAGAGCACGCCGCACCATTACCCTGACTCAGTCACACATGGTGCAGCAGGTCCTTCAGCGCTTCGGCTTCACGTACTCCTCGCCTCAGGCCACTCCTCTGCCTACTCGCCACTCGCTCTCAGCTCTGCCTTCCGATGAGTCCGTAGAGTCGAGTGGCCCGTACCCAGAGCTTGTTGGCTGCCTCATGTACCTGATGACCTGCACACGACCTGACCTTGCATACCCTCTTAGCATTCTTGTACGCTATTTTGCTCCTCGGAGACACAGACCAGAGCACATGGCTGCAGCGAAGAGGGTGTTGCGCTACTTGTGCAGTACGTCGGGCATGGGGCTAGTGCTTGGAGGGCGGAGTCTAGAGGTCCTCACTGGGAACGCGGATGCTTCTTGGGCAGACGACCAGGCTACGCAGTGGTCGTCACAGGGTTACACCTTCAGCCTTGGTTCCGGCTCTGTTTCGTGGCGGGCTACTCGCTCGTCTTTTGTTCTCGGCTCCAGTTGTGAGGCTGAGATCTACGCCGGGGCCATGGCTGCACAGGAGCTTCGCTGGCTTACCTACCTGCTGACTGACCTCGGAGAGCCGCCTCGTTCTCCTCCGGTGCTGTACGTAGACAACAAGGCCATGCTAGCCTTGTGTCGGGAGCAGCGCCTGGAGCACAGAACGAAGCACATTGCTCTCCGCTACTTTCTTGGTCGTGAGTTGCAGCAGCGTGGTCAGTTGCGACTTGCGTACGTGGCCTCTAAGGCCAACACTGCTGATGTTTTCACCAAGGCACTTCCGCCTTGTGATCATCAGCGCTTCTGCACTCAGCTGGGTCTTGTGCCTGTCTTGCCTCACTTGCTCACCCCTTGACCTTGCTTGTACTCTTACATATATTTATACACCTGCTCTTGCTTGTTTAGCCTTATATATATATGTGTACTCCTGCATGTGAACTGGCCTTGTGGCCTTTACCTTGTGCTCGGACTGTGTGGTGACGTTGTGATCCACCCTGAGCTTTGTTTGCTTTGCTTGACTGGCTTGTGACCCCTTGTTCTCCCCCACTTTGCCTATGGGGGTGTGTCAAATTATAATATTGTGTAGGCTATAGTGGGGTAGCCTATATGGGGTACACATTTTTAGGGTTGCATATTTGTATCACTTCCATTCCTTAGTCATTCATTTTCGTTCTCATTTTCTCATGACTTGCTCCTCCGTCAATAAAAATCTTCACTGCTGCTCCCTGTATCTTCCCGTAGATCAGTACTGGGCAATCCGTCGGTGTACCCTCCTTATTCATCCAAGCCCGATCGATGGCGTGAATCGGTACTGTGACTCGGTGAGGGTCGGTACGGTTGGGCGAGTAGGCAGTCTTGTCAGTAGTTGGCCCAACTTCTACTGACTGCTGGCGTTTCCCTGCCTCTGAGACTGTCTCCCCTGCTCTGCTCCGCGGCGCCTCAGCTCCTCTGGGCATTCGCTATTGCGATGGCCCGGCCTGTTGCAAGCAAAGCAGCGCCCCTTGAACGGTGCGGCAGCTGCATTCGTTGCGACGGCGTGTACAGTGGCGTGTTCGGTCGGTCCCCAAGGGCGATGTCCGTAGTAGGACCCCGGTCTCAGTTGGCGTAGAATGTCGATTTTCTCGGCGAGCGCGAGAATCTCGTTGAAGTTAGAGAGTCCGCGCAGCATGATTTCGTGCGAGGTATCCGGCTTCAGCCCTCCGATGTAACGGTCCACCCGCTCCGCTTCGTGCATGTAGCCGACCTGTTCGCAAAGTGCGAGAAAACCGCTTGTATAATCTTGAACCGACCCGAGCTGGCGCCAAGTGCGCAATCTCTGACGCGCCGAAATCGAAGCCGCGATCGGCTCGAAGCGCGCCCGTAGTCCTGCGCACCACGCATCCCACGTGCTGTATTGGGCGGTCTCGCAGAACGAACTCCAGGTGACAGCTGGACCCGTGGGCCCTTCCTCGTGCGACGGTGGCTCGTAGGCGCGTGGCGATGTCACGATGACTCGCCACCAGTCCATGGCGGGGCCCCTTAGCAGCGAAACTGCATACCGGATCTTCGCGGCGTCCGACTCGACGTAGTTTGCGTCGAAGAAGACGTTCATCGTGAAGACCCACGATTGAACCGTCGGACCTCCGCGTTGGCTTGGGTCGAAGCAGGGCGGGCGTTGCGGCTTGAGCGGCATTGGTGCCATAATGGCCTGTTCGCCACTTGTTGCCGCAAATTCCACGTGCCGACGGGCTACCTGGGGCTCCCGCGGGCTTGGTGTGATCTTGCCTCCCCCCATGCCAGGCATCGGCTGGGCGGCGCCATCACTGGCTGCGCCTGAGCGTTGTACCATGCTGTCGTGTTGTGTTGGTGTGCCGGACGAGATGATGATCGGCTCGTCCGATTGTGCAGATGCATTTGTCGGTGCATGTGGTGTCGCCGAAATGTTCACCGTGGATTGTTAACGGGCAGAGTCACGTTCCGCCGTGAGCGTCGCGATTTCGAGCGCCGAATCTTCTAGTTGACGCACGAGACGATCAAGCTGCTCCTGCGTCAACGTGGCGAGCGTGAAATCGGCCATGGCGGGGGTGTCGGGCAAGCTCAGCGAGAGCCTCGGTCGTGGCCGTGCGTGCTTACGAGAGAGCACTATGAGCGGCGGTGCTGTATCGCTGAGAGACGTCTACCCCCCCCAAAAAAATGAGATAGTGGGGAAGCGAAAGTGTGGATGCGGTCCGAGATGAGATCGTAGGCTCTGAATACCAAGTGTTATGGGTGCAATTGAGTGGACGAACGAGAATTGCACTATCGAGGCAAGAATACAATGAGCGAAGGCATGAGCGAAGAATATATAGCGAAACTACAGTGGTAACGGTAATGGACTGTGGTTGTCGTGCGACAAGCCTGGGACTGAGGTTGGGAAAGTGTCGAAGCGGAGGCCCGGAGCGCGGGTTACCAGCCGAGCCGTGAGGTCGGGGTGCGATGTGCGAAGATGGCGGGATGATTGTCGATGCGAGGATCGCGAGTGGTAACGGTGCTGACTGAGGTGCTACAGTGAGGTACGCGTTGAGCAGGGATGCGAAGTAAGGAAAAGGGATTTTCCTTACACGCACCCGTAACTGAGTTGGATAATGAGTTGGTCTAATGGGTCTTAGCGACTACAGTCGATGCTCACCTTATCCAGTGTCCAAAGGTCATCCCGATAAAAAAAACAGTCACTCGCGAACTTTTTTGCCCGTGAGTGACTGAATCGAGCATTGGGGTAGAGTCACCAAGTTGCAGAAGATCGACGTCAACAGTTCAGAAACAACAGAGGTTGCCCGTCGCATACGTCATCTTAGCAGGGTTGACCGAGTTACAGCGACTTTTACTAGGTCCCACTTTTACTTTTCAGTCCCATTTTTGTCCGTGGCGACGTGGCGAAGATCGACGAAATACCCGCTGCCCATTTCAGTCCATTGCCGCCCGCCTACCTGGTATTCTTGAAATGAGCAACGACTGTAGTCCATCATCGGGGAGGATCTGTTTGGCAGCAATGTAGCTGCGAATGATGTGGCGCGACCTTGTTTGAAGGGGAGCAAGCGCTTGCACCAATGAAATTCACTTTTCCCAAACAGTAAGTGGTTTGCTATTGGCGCTTTTCAGGTGTTGCGGATCTTTCTTGTTTGTGCAGTGTTCCCCCGGGGCTAACCGCCAACTGGGTACATCCTCCCCTCAACCAAGTCATCGCTGACCCGCCAATTGTGGTGCTGGTTGCTCGTCGTTTTACTGAAAGACCCCACCGCTCCTGGGGGAACTCTCAACTCGTCGTTTTAGGTTACTTCTCACTTCTCTTTCAGCTAGCCTCCATTTCGACCGCAGTGGCGTATAGTAACTTTCCACGATGTTTGTGGGGAGCCCTGGAAGTAACGGCAGCGGCCACTCCATCCGCCTGGGGACCAACGAGGATACGTCGCAGCACATGCCTGTGCTCTTCCCCACCTATGCCCAGCAGCAGCAGCAGCAGCAGCAGCAGCAGCAACAGTCGCAGCCGCAAGAGCGTGTAGTACCTGACGCGCGACGGGGAGCGCCGCAACCGGCGGCGCCGATGCGGCCGGCGGCGCAGGTGAAGATGAGGCTGGGCACCAACGAGGACTTATCGCAGTACATGCCGCCCATCCACCGCGCCTCCGCCGGTCCCGCTGCGCCTCAAGCCAGCCCTTTCGGCGCGGCGGACGTGGCGTCCATGCTGGGGGCGCGCGTCGACGCCATGACGGTGTCGCCGGGGGGGCCGCCCAGGCGGACCAGCTTCGAGGCCAGCCCCAATGCGAGCCGCGACGCGTTGGCGGCGGTGGAGCGCTCGCAGTCGCACGACAGTCGCGGAATCGCGGCCGGCCCGCGCGGCAGCGCGCCAATGGCGGGTGGCAGCCCGCGGAAGGACGGGTTGGCGCCTGGGATGGCGGGTTCCCCATCGTACGGCGCGCGGCCCTTCCCCGAAAGAGGCGTCGGGGTGCGCTTGCCCACCCTCCACCGCCTCCATCCCCTCTCCCCCTTAATCGCTCCGTTTCTTACGCTGGCTTGCTCCCCCCCCCCCCTTGTCTCCTCTTCTTCTCTCTTCAGTGTGCTCTTCTCTCGTCGTCCCTCCCCCGACCCTTCCTTCTCGAGCAGTTCCCTGCGTGCTCTGCGCGCTGCCGTGTTGGTCCGCGCGCACTGCTGCGCACTGCCGTGTTAGTCTGCGCGCACTGCTGCGCTCTGCCGTGTTAGTCCGCGCGCAGTGCTGCGCTCTGTGCGCGACCTTAACCGCGCGCTCTCCCACGTCGTGCTGCAGCGCATCCCCCAATGCTGCCCCCTCTCCACCCGCTCCCGCCCTCTCCTTCCACCTCCAGTTTCCATCCGCCGCCGGCTCTCAGGGCATGCGCGCCGCGCCGTACGCGGCGCGTTCCGCTCAGACCAGCAGCCCGCCAGGCGCACACGTGGCCGCGGCGAGGGGGTCGGGCGGGGGAATGGGGTCGGGCGGGGGGACGGGGTGGGGCGCGGGGAGGCAGCAGCAGGCGCCGATGCCGCTACCGGGGCGGCAGGCGTCGGGGGGGGCGGGGGGCGCGTCGTGGGACAACATGGGCGTCAACATGAGCATGGGGTCGAACGCGGGCCTCAGTTCCTCGTGGAGCGACTTCGACACGCGCTCCATCGGCAGCGCGGGGGGCAGCAGCGCGCGCCTCACGGAGGGCGGGGGGGGCGCGGAGTGCCGGCAGTTCACGTTGGCGCAGCTGGCGGCCGCCACTGACAACTTCAGCGACGCCAACCTGCTGGGCCGCGGCGCCTTCGGCATGGTCAGCCCGCACTGCCCCTCAACGCCGCCTCCCCCCCCGCATTGCCGCCTCCCCCCCCGCATTGCCCCTCAACGCCGCCCCCCCCCCCCGCAATGCCACCTCCCCCCCCCGCATTGCCGCCTCCCCCCCCCCCCGCATTGCCACCTTCCCCCCCGCATTGCCCCTCAACGCCGCCTCCCCTCCCCCTTCCAACCTTTTCTCCTATCATCCCGTTTCGTCCCTACCCCCTTCTTCCCCCTTCCTCCTCTCCTTCCCCCTGCCCTGCCCGCCCTTCCCCGCCGGCCTCTGTGTGGGATGGCAAGAGGCGAGCTGAGAGAGTGGCTGGACGCCGCTCTCAGCCGAACTGATCGCTCTCACTAGACAAACAGCGCTGCCACTGCCCTCAATGGATGCTCGCTTTGCTGCACCCCGCATTCCTGTTTCCCTCTTCACTGGTCCGTATCGTTTCCGCTTCCCACAGTCCCTGTTCGATCCCCTATCAACGTTTCGCCCCCTGCCAAGCTTGGCTCCCCCTCCCCCTGCCAAGCTTGGCTCCCCCTCCCCCTGCCAAGCTTGGCTCCCCCTCCCCCTGCCAAGCTTGGCTCCCCCTCCCCCTGCCAAGCTTGGCTCCCCCTCCCCCTGCCAAGCTTGGCTCCCCCTCCCCCTGCCAAGCTTGGCTCCCCCTCCCCCTGCCAAGCTTGGCTCCCCCTCCCCCTGCCAAGCTTGGCTCCCCCTCCCCCTGCCAAGCTTGGCTCCCCCTCCCCCTGCCAAGCTTGGCTCCCCCTCCCCCTACCAAGCTTGGCTCCCCCTCCCCCTGCCAAGCTTGGCTCCCCCTCCCCCTGCCAAGCTTGGCTCCCCCTCCCCCTACCAAGCTTGGCTCCCCCTCCCCCTGCCAAGCTTGGCTCCCCTCCCCCTGCCAAGCTTGGCTCCCCCTCCCCCTGCCAAGCTTGGCTCCCCCTCCCCCTGCCAAGCTTGGCTCCCCCCTCCCCCTGCCAAGCTTGGCTCCCCCTCCCCCTGCCAAGCTTGGCTCCCCCTCCCCCTGCCAAGCTTGGCTCCCCCTCCCCCTGCCAAGCTTGGCTCCCCCTCCCCCTGCCAAGCTTGGCTCCCCCTCCCCCTGCCAAGCTTGGCTCCCCCTCCCCCTGCCAAGCTTGGCTCCCCCTCCCCCTGCCAAGCTTGGCTCCCCCTCCCCCTACCAAGCTTGGCTCCCCCTCCCCCTGCCAAGCTTGGCTCCCCCTCCCCCTGCCAAGCTTGGCTCCCCCTCCCCCTGCCAAGCTTGGCTCCCCCTCCCCCTGCCAAGCTTGGCTCCCCCTCCCCCTGCCAAGCTTGGCTCCCCCTCCCCCTGCCAAGCTTGGCTCCCCCTCCCCCTGCCAAGCTTGGCTCCCCCTCCCCCTGCCAAGCTTGGCTCCCCCTCCCCCTGCCAAGCTTGGCTCCCCCTCCCCCTGCCAAGCTTGGCTCCCCCTCCCCCTACCAAGCTTGGCTCCCCCTCCCCCTGCCAAGCTTGGCTCCCCCTCCCCCTGCCAAGCTTGGCTCCCCCTCCCCCTGCCAAGCTTGGCTCCCCCTCCCCCTGCCAAGCTTGGCTCCCCCTCCCCCTGCCAAGCTTGGCTCCCCCTCCCCCTGCCAAGCTTGGCTCCCCCTCCCCCTGCCAAGCTTGGCTCCCCCTCCCCCTGCCAAGCTTGGCTCCCCCTCCCCCTGCCGAGCTTGGCTCCCCCTCCCCCTGCCAAGCTTGGCTCCCCCTCCCCCTGCCAAGCTTGGCTCCCCCTCCCCCTACCAAGCTTGGCTCCCCCTCCCCCTGCCAAGCTTGGCTCCCCCTCCCCCTGCCAAGCTTGGCTCCCCCTCCCCCTGCCAAGCTTGGCTCCCCCTCCCCCTGCCAAGCTTGGCTCCCCCTCCCCCTGCCAAGCTTGGCTCCCCCTCCCCCTGCCAAGCTTGGCTCCCCCTCCCCCTGCCAAGCTTGGCTCCCCCTCCCCCTGCCAAGCTTGGCTCCCCCTCCCCCTGCCAAGCTTGGCTCCCCCTCCCCCTGCCAAGCTTGGCTCCCCCTCCCCCTGCCAAGCTTGGCTCCCCCTCCCCCTACCAAGCTTGGCTCCCCCTCCCCCTGCCAAGCTTGGCTCCCCCTCCCCCTGCCAAGCTTGGCTCCCCCTCCCCCTGCCAAGCTTGGCTCCCCCTCCCCCTGCCAAGCTTGGCTCCCCCTCCCCCTACCAAGCTTGGCTCCCCCTCCCCCTGCCAAGCTTGGCTCCCCCTCCCCCTGCCAAGCTTGGCTCCCCCTCCCCCTGCCAAGCTTGGCTCCCCCTCCCCCTGCCAAGCCTAAGTGGCAAAATACGCTTTTGGCTTTAAGCGTTTAGCGTTTATCCGCTTGCGTATACACGCAAAACGCTATACGCTAACGAATACGCAATACGCTCGGGGGTTTTTTTCAGGGCAGCCCAAAATCGAAAAAAAAATTGTATATCTGAAAAGTTTCGTCTTCTCACGGCGAAGAAGATGCCGTGCTCGAAATGCACGTCCGAGATCTACCCTGGCCTGGACGTGGCTTCAATGTATGGAGGTGAGTTGGTTTCCGTGCTTTCAATTCGCGGCCTCGCGACTGTGAGTTGGGTTACGTGGCTCCAATGTTTGGAGTCGCGATGTCCTTGACATTCCACATTGGAGTTCCACCAATTTGTACCGCTCTCGACCTACAAACTCCCTCCAATTCAACTTCTCCCCACCACTCCATCCCACGCTACTTCACAATCAGGTATTGTTCTCTCTCGTCAATGCATCCTCCCATGTACCTTCACAGACCTTTTTAGAATGTCTTCTGCAGATGTTAGCCCGACCCCGTCCACTCCCCCTCCTAATACCAGCACGGACAGTCCTGTTCAGTCGGCGCGAGTTTACCTTCCCGATGTCGACCACGAGGTGTTCAAGCATTTCCGCCGCATAAAGGTGGACGAGGGGAAATCGCAGCAATACGAATGCAGGTACTGCTGCAATGTCTTTTCTGGCGCCGCCACCCGCTGCGCGCAGCACTTGGCGAGTTGGAGGAAGATGAGGCGCCGCGAAGTGGCGCTATGCAAGGAAGCCCCCTCTGAAGTACGGGCTGCCATCCGGAAGAAGTATGAGGCTAAGGCTGCAGCGGCGGATCAGCGCCGCCAGGCGACATCGGATGCCATTGCGTCGGTCACCAGCGGCGGAAAGAGGAGCCGCATTACTGACTACTTGGAGACGGATGCGGCAGCTGCGAAGCGCGATGCACACGAGGCGTTGGCGCTGATGTTCGCGGCGTGTCGAATCCCGGAGCGCGTGGCGGCGCACCCTCTCTTCATCAACGCCGTTTGTGCCATTAGTGACTCCGGCACAGGATACGTCCCCCCGACGAGGACGTTCATCGGCGGGGCGGGCTTGCGACTCTGTTGCGAGAACATTGACAGAGGGCTTTCTGGAGTGAAGGCGAGCTGGAAGCGGACCGGCGTGACAATTTCTTCTGATATGATGACTGATAAGAACGGTCGCCCCCAGGCGAACGTGTTTCTCGTCAACGAGAGCGGTGCGGTGTTCAAGGACAGCGTGAACTGTCGCATGGAGACCAAAACTGGCGGTTATGTCGCCAGCATCCTCAGGCCCGTGGTGGAGGAGGTCGGTCCCGATAACGTGGTGGCGTTCTGCACGGACGGTGGGTCCAACTACGCGATGGCGTGCAACGAGCTGATCGCGGAATGGCCGCACATTCAACACGTGCCATGCGCCACCCACGTGTTGGACCTCTTCATGGAGGACGTCGGCAAGATGACGTGGGCCAAGAAGGTGGTGGACACTGCGGGCGAGATCAGCTCCTTCGTCCGCAACCACCACTGGACAAGGGGATACTTGAGGACCCTCGGACTGGTGGGTGCAAAGATGCTGCAGGCGCTGAAACCGGCTGGAACCAGTTTCGGGACACAGTACATTGTTGTGTCCCGTCTCTGTGAGCTGCGGCAGTCGCTTGCACAGGTGGTGGTGTCTGATGTGTGGAAGGGTTGGGCAGTTGGGGATAGGAAGAAGTCTGCGGATAAGTTTGCGTCACAAGTTCTTGATGACGCGTGGTGGCGAACGGCGGAGTTTTTCTCCAAGCTGATGAAGCTCTCGTTCATGGCAATGCGCAAGACCGATGGGGATGCCAAGGGGATGATGGGCCGGATGTATGATGTGATGCTGCAGTTGACCAAGGATGTGGGGACAGTGGTGGAGGAGGATGAGGAGCAGCTGAGCTACTCCGACAAAGTGAACATCCGCCGCCTGCTGAAGAACAGGTGGGACGACAGCCTGGCCTGCCCCATGCACGTTGCGGGCAGAATTCTCAACCCGAAGAACCAGGATGAAGACATCTTCGGCTCAGACGCGGAGTGCACTAGGGTATTCAAAACGTACATCACTCAGCACGCCGAGCACCTGTGCAATTACGGGAAGGAGGGGGATGATGGGGATGACATTGGCGAGGTTTTGATGGAACTGCACGACGGGGTGAGGGCATTTCTGGATATGAAGGGAAGCTTCGCGATGGGGGATGCAATTGCTCAGAGGAACTTGGTCAAGCAAGGCAAGTATGACATGGTAAAGTGGTGGCAGTGGCACAGCATTGACGCATCAAAGCTGGCAACCCTAGCCATCAGGACTCTCTCTCAGCCCGTGTCGGCTTCACCATGTGAGAGGGGATGGTCAACGTGGGATGGGGTGCACACGGCCCGCCGGAACCGGCTTGGCTCTGCCAAGTGCCGGGATTTGGTTTTTGTTGCGCACAACTGGAGCATTGTGCGCAACTGGCATTCCCGTGCAGATGTCATGCCGGGTGTGGTGCTCGGGAACATCCCGGAGCCTCCCGTGCCCGAGGGCTACAATGTGATGGAGGGGGACGAGGAGGAGGAGGAGGGGGAAGACGACATTTTGGAGGATGAGTATGCGTAGGTGGGTTAATTGATCTGGACTAGCGTGAGTAGTAGTATGTGTAGTAGTAGTAGTATGGGATGAGTAGTTGTCATTGTAATGTTGGTGAAAAAAAAAAAAATCGGGAAAAAAAACCGGGAAATCCAACCCCCGTGGAAACTTACCCCAGTAGTATTGCAGGGGGGTCTTATTTTAGCTGCCCGATGTTTTTTTAACCTGCCCGAAATAGCGTATCTAGGGTCTCGGGACCTTTGCGTATAGCGTATAAACGCGTGCGTATATACGACACGCGTATATACGCAATACGCGTATTTTGCCACTTAGTGCCAACCTTGGCTCCCCCTCCCCCTGCCAAGCTTGGCTCCCCCTCCCCCTGCCAAGCTTGGCTCCCCCTCCCCCTGCCAAGCTTGGCTCCCCCTCCCCCTGCCAAGCTTGGCTCCCCCTCCCCCTGCCAAGCTTGGCTCCCCCTCCCCCTGCCAAGCTTGGCTCCCCCTCCCCCTGCCAAGCTTGGCTCCCCCTCCCCCTGCCAAGCTTGGCTCCCCCTCCCCCTGCCAAGCTTGGCTCCCCCTCCCCCTGCCAAGCTTGGCTCCCCCTCCCTCTGCCAAGCTTGGCTCCCCCTCCCCCTGCCAAGCTTGGTTCCCCCTCCCCCTGCCAAGCTTGGCTCCCCCTCCCCCTGCCAAGCTTGGCTCCCCCTCCCCCTGCCAAGCTTGGCTCCCCCTCCCTCTGACAAGCTTGGCTCCCCCTCCCCCTGCCAAGCTTGGCTCCCCCTCCCCCTGCCAAGCTTGGCTCCCCCTCCCCCTGCCAAGCTTGGCTCCCCCTCCCCCTGCCAAGCTTGGCTCCCCCTCCCCCTGCCAAGCTTGGCTCCCCCTCCCTCTGCCAAGCTTGGCTCCCCCTCCCTCTGCCAAGCTTGGCTCCCCCTCCCCCTGCCAAGCTTGGTTCCCCCTCCCCCTGCTAAGCTTGGCTCCCCCTCCCCCTACCAAGCTTGGCTCCCCCTCCCCCTGCCAAGCTTGGCTCCCCCTCCCCCTGCCAAGCTTGGCTCCCCCTCCCCCTGCCAAGCTTGGCTCCCCCTCCCCCTGCTAAGCTTGGCTCCCCCTCCCCCTGCCAAGCTTGGCTCCTCCTCCCCCTGCCAAGCTTGGCTCCCCCTCCCCCTGCCTAGCTTGGCTCCCCCTCCCCCTGCCAAGCTTGGCTCCCCCTCCCCCTGCCAAGCTTGGCTCCCCCTCCCCCTGCCAAGCTTGGCTCCCCCTCCCTCTGCCAAGCTTGGCTCCCCCTCCCCCTGCCAAGCTTGGTTCCCCCTCCCCCTGCTAAGCTTGGCTCCCCCTCCCCCTACCAAGCTTGGCTCCCCCTCCCCCTGCCAAGCTTGGCTCCCCCTCCCCCTGCCAAGCTTGGCTCCCCCTCCCCCTGCCAAGCTTGGCCCCCCCTCCCCCTGCCAAGCTTGGCCTCCCCTCCCCCTGCCAAGCTTGGCTCCCCCTCCCCCTGCCAAGCTTGGCTCCCTCGCCAAGGGACAGGGGTGGTTGGATAAACCACATTCAATGCCACACCAATCCTGCGTTTTGCGGAGGTAACACCAAGCACGCACACAGTGAGCATGTGCCTGGCAAGCTCAGTAATTGCCTTGCTTGCCTTCCCCCCCCCGTTCACTCCTCTCCTTCCCCCCTTCACTCCTCTCCCCCACGCACTGTGCGGCTGGCAGGTGCACAAGGGGCGGCTGCTGGGGTGCCAGGTGGCGGTGAAGCGGCTGGAGGGCGGGGGTTGGCAGGGGCCCAGCGAGTACCGCATGGAGGTGGAGGTGCTCAGCCGCATGCGCCACCCGCACATCGTGCTGCTCATGGGCCACTGCCCCGACGCCATGTGCCTCGTCTACGAGTACCTCCCAGGTGGCTCGCTGCAGGACCACCTAAACCCCGCTGCCCGGGGTGGTGGGCGGCGGCCTTTGTCTGTGGGGGAGCGGGTGAGGGTGGCGTCAGAGGTGGCGTCGGCGCTGCTGTTTCTGCACCACCACGACCCGCCCATCGCTCACCGCGACCTCAAGCCCGACAACGTGCTGCTGGACGGCAACCGCGGCTCCAAGCTCGCCGACGTGGGCCTGGCGCGCCTCATCGCGGAGGACGACAACGTGACGGCGCGCGTGCGCGGCACGGCGGGGTACATTGACCCGGAGGAGGTGGTGACGTGTGAGATCAGTGTGCTGTCGGACATCTATGCGCTGGGGCTCATCATGCTGCAGCTGCTCACGGGCGAGCCGCACGTCAAGGGCGTGCAGCGCCTGCTCGTCGACCTCGTGGGCAGCGGTGCCTACAACTCGGGCGCGGCAGGGCTGGCGCGCGCCGTGGACATTGTGTTGGCGCGCCTGGACACGTCAGCGGGCGAGTGGGAGCGCGAGGTGGCGGTGGAGTTTGCGAGGCTGGCGCTGCGCTGTGCGGACCGGCAGCGGGCGCGGCGGCCAGATCTGGACCGGGAGTTGCAGCCGGCGCTGGTGGCCCTGGCGGAGCGCTGCAAGGAGGCAGCGGAGCGCCGCCGCGGCCACATGGACTCGCAGCTGCTCTGCCCTCTCAGTCAGGTGCGATGCGCGCTCTCCCAGGTGCTCTGCCGGCTCTCCCAGGTGCTCTGCCGGCTCTCCCAGGTGCTCTGCCGGCTCTCCCAGGTGCGATGCCCGCTCTCCCAGGTGTGATGCCCGCTCTCCCAGGTGCCATGCCCACTCTCCCTCCACTTCACTCATTCCTCACCTCACCTCTGATGGGTTGTCCCCTTGCCCTCTGGCAGGAGCGCATGAGTGACCCGGTGGTGGCGGCAGACGGCTTCACATACGAGCGCAGCAGCATAGAGGAGTGGCTCAAGACACGCGACACGTCGCCCGTCAACGGCCAGCCGCTGCCACACAAGTTCCTCACGCCCAACAACACTCTGCGCATGCTGCTCAACTCCCAGGGCTAGACACAACCCTGCCACACTGCCTCGTGTCTTGGGAACCACCACACCACTGGCTGTGCAAATGTTGTTAAGAGGTGCATGGAACGGGAGCACGATTTTGGATGACAACTGGCTTGGGTACCATGTTTGCTGCAGATTGCTTGATCGGTCTTGGCGATTACCACCTTTTAATCATTATGTGCATGTTTTTTTAGGGATATACTACTACTACCGTATGTACAGTCTACGGTGTTGGAATAAGAAAGGATGTTTGACAAGATAAGCCCTGCAGGTGGTGGAAGTCTTTTGTAGTTGGAACCCTGATTATAGTGAATGTAAATGACAAGATAGATTTAATATTACACACAAAGCGGGATGAATGCATTAGATGTGTGAGAAGTACAAATACCAACCCTATAAATGGGTTGTACTCCCTACAACGTTACGCACTATAGCCTAACAAGCTAAGAAAAAAATTGACACACCCCCATAGGCTAAGTGAGGGGCATCAAAGCAAGCAAGCGAAACAAATGGTCACAAAACCAGTCAAGAGGAGCAACAAGACAGGACAACACTCAGGGTGGATCTCAAGATTGTTGAGAACAAACAATCTTAAGCGCCTCTGTCGTGTCGAAACACCAAGGCACAAGCGAAGTTGAGCATATCGAGGCACCAGCGAGTCGCACTGTATCGAACCGCAACAGTAAAACAGTTTAATTATATCTCTTCGTATTCGTTGTACTCTTATATAAACCTTTGTACTTGCTTGTTTTAATCAACTTACTTTGCCCTCACATACCAGCGCAAGGTGGTTCAAGGACTTCATTTAAACGCTTCCGCTACTACATCACTCTACCCAGAGTTTAACCCTACCAAAGATCCTAAGGGGCAATCAGCCCAACATGGTACCGTATAGTTCCGGCTAGAAGACCCGGGGGACTCTCTACAAATGCTTAAAAATATGCTTGGGTGGACATTATGGCGGTTGCAATTTTTTAAGACCCAGGGTACACTTATTTATCATATATCAATCTGTTATTTAGAGTGTAAAGCTAAATTTGGGGCAGGGGGGGTCTTATATTCGTTACGAAAAACCGCCTTCGCGTGCAAATTTCGCGCGAGCGGCGCGTCAGATTTCTGTCAGAATTCGAGTCTGACACAATCAAAGTGTCAGAATTCGAGTCAGACACCAAGAGACATGTCTACCAGAAAGGAGAGGAGCTCCTCCAACAGCTCTCCTGGTACTACTCCTACTCCACCTCCTGCCTCTGGCCTACAGACAGAGGAAGGCACAACAACGAGACCGGCAGCTGGGTCTACTGAAACACCCACAAACCAAGGCGCGGGCTTCGATCCAAGCATGATGGAGAAGTTCTTCTCCTTCATGTCCTTCTACGAGCAGCATCAGCAAGGAGCACCTGCGCAATCAAACAACAGCAACAACAACAACAACGTGACGCCCATGAGTCTCGATGGCTCATCCTAAGCACGCGGGAATCAACAACAGCAACCTACCTTCGCTCCGTACGAGCCCCAGCGCAGCTCTGTCAGCTTCATGCCACAACCACAACCTGCACCGGGACAAGAGAGAACGCTGGACGCACTACAAGTTCAATCGCAGTTCGCGCACGTTCTAAAACTGCAAACAACAAAACCCTTCAACAAGAAGGATTTCTTTACCTGGTCGTTCGAATTCGAGCTGATGATGGAAGGAGCGCAAATCCTTGGCTTCTTCTACGGGTCCCTGCCATACCCAACAAACGGGACACAGTATGAGAAGCAGCAGTACACCTATCAATCGATGATGGCGTACACGATACTACTGAGGAACATCACTCCAACTCAACAACAAAACATATGGTCTTACCGAGGCTACGGCAACTCCGGGGAGCTCGCGTACAATCACTTGAAGAGCCTGTATCAAGCAACAGACAGCGTGAACCAAAGTCGGTTAATGGCGCAGCTGACAACAATCGAAATGAAGCCAGGCGAGAAGGGAATGGCGTATATAAGTCGCTGCCGCGAGCTGCGCGACAAGCTTCTTTGATGTGGAGGATCGATTTCAGAGGACGCCTTTGTCACGGTTGTCATCGGCGGTCTTGGTCCTCACTGGCGCTCCACTCGCGCCATACTACGAGCCCACGGGAAAATTTCTGAAGCAGCACTTTGCGCCGAAATCCACGCCGAGCAGCAAGACATGGACCTGAAAGAAGAACGACACAAGAGAAAGGTATTAGTACCCGAATTCGCGTTTCACACTCAACGGCGCCACAACAACAACAACAATCGACTGAAAATCGTACCTACGTTCTGCCTGATAAGAAACGAGAAATGAATGAACTATGAAACAGTTGGGTACAAGTACTAACCCTAATTGGGTTGTACCCCTTATGGGCTACCCCACTACAGCCTACACAAAAGCATAAGCTATAATGTTCTGACACACCCCCATAGGCAAAGTGGGGAGAACAAGGGGTCACAAGACCAGTCAAGCAAAGCAAAGCAAAGCATGCTCAGGGTGGATCACAAAGTCACCACACATTCCGAGCACAAGTTCAAGGCCACAAGGCCAGTTCACATGCAGGAGTACATATATATATATATATAAGGCTAGACAAGCAAGAGCAGGTGTATATATATATATGTAACAGTACAAGCAAGGTCAAGAGGTGAGCAAGTGAGGCAAGGCAGGCACAAGACCCAGCTGAGTACAGAAGCGCTGATGATCACAAGGCGCAAGCGCCTTGGTGAAGATATCAGCAGTGTTGGCCTCAGAGGCCACGTACGCAAGACGCAGCTGACCACGCTGCTTTAGCTCACGAGCAAGGAAGTAGCGAAGAGCAATGTGCTTCGTTCTGTGCTCCAGTCTCTGTCAGAACATTATAGCTTATGCTTTTGTGTAGGCTGTAGTGGGGTAGCCCATATGGGGTACAACCCAATTAGGGTTAGTACTTGTACCCAACTCTTTCATAGTTGATTCATTCTCGTTTCAGTTTTCTCATGGTATCGAGCAGGTTCCCTCGTGTGAACTGTTCCTAGGGCCCACCAATTCGATTTTTTTTTTCCTGCCCGGAGCGCGCTCAGCCCTAGCCCAAGTCGCGCTCCCCTTTCTCGACACCGTCGCGCCGCCCTTGCGGCCCCGATCGGCTGCCCTAGCGGCCCCGTCGCCTGCCTCGCGGTCCTCGCGCCGCCCTTCCTGGCCCTGACCCGCCGCCCTGCGGCCTCGTCGCCTACCCTGCGTCCCTCGCGCCGCCCTTTCCCAGCCCCGATCTGCCGCCCTGCGGCCTCGTAGCCTACCCCGCGGCCCTCGTGCCGCCCTGCGGCCCTGAGGCCGCCCTTACCTGCAGCACCGTTGCCTACCTGCTGGCCCCGCCACCTATCTGCGGCCCCGCCACCTACCTGCGGCCCCGCCACCTACCTGCGGCCCCGGCGCCCACCTACGGCCCCGCCACCAACCTGCGGCCCCGCCGCCCTTACCTGCGGCCCCGGCGCCTACCTGTCGGCCCCGCCACCTACCTGCGGCCCCGACACCAACCTGCGGCCCCGACGCCTACCTGCGGCCCCGGCGCCCACCTACGGCCCCGCCACCTACCTGCGGCCCCGGCGCCTACCTGCGGCCCCGGCGCGTACCTGTGCGGCCCCGGCGCCTACCTGCTGGCCCCGCCGCATACCTGCGGCCCCGTGACCTACCTGCGGCCTCAACGCCTACCTGTGCGGCCCCGGCGCCGCCTCTGCCGGCCTCGCCGCCGTCCCCTCGCGGCCCCGCCGTCACCACTACGGCGCAGGCACCGTAGCCTGCCGCAGCGCCGCCCGCCACCCGAGCCGCCCGAGCCGCCACACCCAGCCGAGCGGCCGACCGCCGCGCCGCCCTGCAGTCAAACCGCCGAGCCGCCCAGCAGCCGAGCAGCCAAGCCGCCGAGCCGCCCTGCAGTCGAGCCGCCAAGCGCCCAGCAGCCGAGCCGCCGAGCCACCCAGCAGCCGTACAGTCGAGCCGCCGAGTCGCCCTGCATCCGACCCGCCCGCGCCGCCGAGCTGCCCTGTCTGGTAAGAGCAGCGCTTCTGTCACTGCACTGCCTTTACCCTACTGTCCGCGCTGCTAGTCTACTCCTTTCATGGCTACCCCTAGTGTTCTCACTTTTGACGCTGAGGGTAGGGCCATTGACTTTGACGTCTGGGTAGATGACCTGCAGCTTTTCTTACAGTGCGATAGGGCAGACGCTCTCTCTCTCTTTGACCTCACTTCTGGTGCCTCTCCTGCCCCCGCTGCTGATGGTGACGCCACTATTCGCTCACAGTGGGCCACGCGCGATGCTGCTGCACGTCTTGCTGTGCGTCGCCACCTGCCTACCTCTGAGCGTGCGCACTTTAGCTAGTACAAGAGTGCTCAGACCTTGTACGACGCTGTAGTTGCACGCTACTCCTCCCCTGCCATTGCTGCACTGAGCCGCCTCATGCTACCGTACCTCTTACCTGACCTTGCTGCCTTTTCCACAGTCGCTGACCTCATTACGCACCTCCGCACTAGTGACACTCGCTACCGCGCTGCGCTTCCTGCTGAGTTCTGCGCCAAGAACCCCCCCCCCCCCATGTACATCACTCTCTACTACATCGTCACCCGCCTCCCTGACTCCCTTCGCGTAGTCAGGGACCACTTCCTCTCAGTCTGTCCCACCACTCTCACTGTTGACCTCCTTGAGAAGCCCTCCTAGCAGCGGAGAAGAGCATAGTCGTTGTAGGAGCCTGTCGTGGTGACCCGCGCACCCCCATCTTTGAGGGGTGTTCCCCCTCCCCCCTTTTGCCCTCTGTTGCCTCTGCTGCTGCGGCCGACCTTGTTGGGCTTGAGCCGGTCGGTGCGGCGTCTACCCCTAGCGGGAGACGCCGCGCTGGCAAGGGCAAGGGGGGCTGGTGCGCTGGAGGAGCTAGCGGGGGAGGTGGAGGCGCCGGTGGACGCGGCGGGGGGAGTTGGGGTGGTGGTGGGGGTGGTGGCAGAAGTGGAGGTGTCGGTGGCGGCAGTGGAGGCGGAG